CATATCTGCTCTATGTGTGCCCTTCAGAATAGGATAGGGTCGCTGAATCCGAAACGTTAACTTCTGCTCTGTCTCCTCAGATGCTGCCAAACCTGCCGAGTTTCTCCAGCAATTTCAGCTTGTCGTTTCAGAGTCTGTTTTTTGTTCACTCGGGTGATTATGGGGTAGGGGGCAGGGGGGTGAGTTGCCTTCTTGAACCGCACCTGCTGTGGGTTGACCCACAGTGCCCTTAGGGAGGGAATTCCAGGATTTTGACCCTGAAGGGAACGACCGATATATTTCCAAGTCGGGATGGTGTGTGTGGGGGTTGCTCGGAGGGGAACTTGCAGGGGGCTGAGTTTCCCATGTATCTGCTGCCCCTTGCCCCCTCTAGGGGGTAGAGGTCCCGGGTTTGGAAGGTGCTGTCTAAGGAGCCTTGGGGACTCGCTGTAGGTGGTACACACTGCTGCGACTCAGCATCAGTGGCGGAGGGAGTGGGTGTTTGTGGATGTGGTGCCAATCCAAGGCAGGGGGTTGCTTTGTCCCTGGACGTTGTCGAGCTTCTCCAGTGTTTGTCGGAGCTGCCCCCATCCAGGGCAGATGGGGAGTATTCCCCCACACTCCTGTCTTGTCGATGGTGGGACAGGCTTTGGGGGGAGTCAGGAGGGGAGTTACTCGCTGCAGGATTCCCAGCCTCTGACCTGCTCTTGTAGCCCCTGTGTAGATATGGGACTGGGTCCAGTTCAGTTTCTGCTCAATGGTAACCCCCAGGATGTTGATAGTGGGGGCGGATTCAGTGAAGGCAACACCATTGAATCTCGGTAGAGATGGTCATTGCCTGGCATTTGTGTGGCATGATTGTTATTTGCCACTTGTCACCCCAAGCCTGGATATTGTCCAGATCTTGTTGGATTTGAACACAGACTGCTTCAGTATCTGAGCAGTCGCGAATGGTGCTGGACATTGTGCAATCATCGGCAAACATCCCCATTTCTGACCTTACCATGGATGGAAGGTTATTTTTGCTTCACATGTGCAGTCCTTTGTTTCATATCTTCCAGTTTCTTGTTCCAGCCAAGGCAACACCCTCGTGAATCTCTTGCACACCCTCTCTCGTGCTTTCGCAGCCTTTCCCCCATAAAACAAAACAACTTTGGATGTTGGCAATATGAAACAAACAGAAACAGAGCTTGCTGGAGAATCTCAGCAGGTCTGGCTGCATCTGGCAGTGGAGAGAGAAACAGTTCTGATACTTTGAGTCCAGCTCTGAGTCTTCATTGATTTCATTGATGTCACTGGCCAGGCCCAGCATTTATTGCCCCATCCCTAACTGCCCCAGAGGGCAGTTCAGAGTCAACCATATTGCTGTGGGGCTGGAGTCACGTGTAGGCCAGACCAGATAAGGATGGCAGTTTCCTGCCCTGAAGGACATTAGTGAACCAGATGAGTTTTTCCAAAAATCAGCAACGGATTCACGGTCACCGTCAGACTCCTCATTCTCAGATTCGAACCGTGGTTCCCAGAACATCTCCCAGTATCTGTGTGGGTATCTCCCTCCCCCACCCCGTTTGCCCTGGTTTCCTCCCACAGTCCAAATTTGTGCAGGTTAGGGTGGATTGGCCATGCATAATTACCCCGCAGTGACCAGGGTTGTGCATGCTGGGTAGGTTAGCCATGGGAAATGCAGGGTTCCAGGGACTGGGTATGGGGGTGGGAATGGGTCTGGGTAGGACGCGCTTCCCAGGGGCGGTGTGGCCTGTTTTCACAGCGTAGGAATTCCAGGATTCTACATTACCCGAGTCTCTGGGTTAACAGTCCAGCGAAATTACCGCTAGGTCATCCCCTCCCCTTCTGAAGCCGGTAGTGTTCAGTAGCATGCAACCTCACCTCAAATCCCTGCCGTACAGAAAGGCGCCATCAGGTCTGAACTGAACCTCCAAAGAGAATCCCACACAGACCCAGCACCCTGCCCTATCCCCATAATCCTGCATCTAGAATGGCCAATTTAGCACGGCCAATCCACCCTAACCTGCACATCCCTGGGCACTACGGGGCAATTTAGCACGGCCAATCCACCCTAACCTGCACATCCCTGGGCACT